CTAGATCCTCTACTTTATAGCCGGTCTTTTCAATACTTCTTCCAACATTCAATTTATTTTCTTTTACAAAAATTGATAATGAAGCATGATGGAAAGCATAATTATTATATTAAAAGTTTGGAGGGGCTCAGGTCTTCCCATAACCCTTCCTTTTCTAATTAAAAGGCTGCTCTCTATACAAACAAAGAAAAGCAAGCTTGAAACACAACAATCCAGAAGTTTGTTGACTTTTCTTGCTGCTGAAAGAGTTATGACCAACATTAAAAACAATACCTCCACGTGGCTGTACAATTATTCCTCCAAGGTTTCAATCCAATTTAATTTTGTTCAGAACCCAGGAATGTATAGAAAGGATTGTGCAATTTATTTATTTTCAAAAACCAATTGATTTCCAAAAATGCATTTTTTTTCCTTTTCAAACAATTCTCTTTGCAAATCCAGTTGTGTTGTACATTGTGAATCTGAACTAAAATCTTTTCTATAAGAAAAAAAGTTATTTCAGATGACTATTTTATGGTATGGGGACATGGGAGTGTACTTTTGTCCAAAATACTAGCTTGCATGTTTTCCCTCACCACAAATGGTGCTTAAATCTGATCTGAAATTCTTGTAGTCTTTGCTGCCTACACCTTTCCCCCAACAAAAGTAGATTAAGCGTCCTGGGCAAATAAGATATAGACCGTTTCAAACAACAACAGAAAGCAACATTTTTAATGCTGCACCTTTGAGGTCTGATGGCTTTTTTTCTAAAACAAAAAAATAATAATATGGGGGTGTGATTGCCCTGTAAAGCAAAATGTGAGGGGGTTTTTTGGGGGGCTGAAATTGGGTGGGGACATTTAAGCAATGGGGTTTGGGTTGGATTCCCTCTCTCTCTTTTTGGGAGATGGGAATGATGAGGGTCATTGAGCTGTGAAATCTTGCATTCCTGTCCAATGGAGCTGAAATAATGGTATTGTTCCCTGGAAAAGAGGTTGCTTTTCTCCCCTACATTCTGCTGCCTGATCTGCAGGGACCTGATTGTGCAGTTAATCAGCAAAAAAACGTTTGATCTAAGGCAGGGCGTGAATTCAAAAGGGCGGGGAGGGAAGGGGGGGAGGCGGGGAAATTCAAGAAGGATTCTTCTTTCTGTTAGGAAACGTTTCTGAATCCAAAATGGCAGACATTTGAAAGTTTGGGGAGGGGGGGAGAGAGAGAACAGAAACTGTTCTGGGGTCCTTAGTCTGCAGTAGATTGCCACAAACAAGAATCATATAACTTGTTCTTTCTTAGGAAGTTTGGGGGGGGGGGAGAGAAGCTGATGTAACTTTACTGCCGGGGGGGGGAGAAAAACATGAGTGAAAGGCCAGCTGTCCCATCTCCTGGATCCCCTCCGATCTTTTTGGGTTTATATCTTTTCCTTCTCATATTTTCTGTGCAATTGCAATGCAATGTTTGTGTGCTTGTTCTGTGCGGAGGAGAGAAATTGAGTCCTGCATGCCACAAAGTTTTCTTCTTTTCTTTTAAGCCTCTTTAAACCTCACAATGCAACAGGTAAGGTTTGAATTGCTTCCCATTCCCCCCCCCCTTCTGTTCAGCAGTCCCCGACATAGATTCTCAGAAGCCAGACCCATTGAATTCAATGGGGCTGACTCCCGGGTAAGTGTGGTTACAGGAAACTGCAATCTAAACCTGTTAAGAAGGAGTCTCAGCAAACGTGCAAATTTCTATTTCCCCTGTTCTTTCTAAACTGAAAAAGAATGACCTGACTCTGACGGTGGCTCTGTCCTTGTTGTTTATTTTAATTCATTCATCCTTAAGCTTCTTCTGCCTGCACATCCAATCTGAAGAAATCCAGGTCTTTTTAAAAAAAACAAACTGCAATCCTAAACACTCTGACAAGGAAGGAACAATGGCAACTTTACTACTGAGTAAAAGCATCGGATTCCACCGTTGGTTCAATATTGTGCATAGGACTGTACTGTTGCTACAGAGTTGTATGGTTAGTGACACATGTGGTTGTTGGGGGGGGGGGTAAGGAGGAAAATGGTGGTTTGCATTTCCAAAAGCAAATTCCTAACTTCACAATCTGGGGAAGGGGCGGGGGGGGGGGGAGCCTCCTATTCCCATCGCATTTGAAGCAACAACAGCAAAAAAGCATCTATTCTTTCATGCAAGAAATTGAGATTGCAAAATCCTTTTTATCTGTTAACAAAAGGCACACTCCACAGAGAATTTCTTCTGGGTGAACCTAAATGGGGTTTGTGCAGGAGAATTTCAGAATACATTTGACGCAAATAAATAATTGTTTCCCGCTTTCTCCTTCCTTCCGTTTCTGTCCGTCCACCTTCCCAGTTAAAAAAAGTTGTTCAAATGCTCAAGAAGTTTCCTCTTCAGTTCTAGACCTAATTACACAAGGGAAAGGGAGAACTCAAATCTTTCCTCTCTCTTTTTTTCCCTTTGCATCATGTTGGGAGTGCAGCTAAATTATCTATTAAAATGCAGATAATTTTTGTAATTTAAAAAAAAATCGTAGAATACATCCAGGCTATGAGTGGAGATCACATTGGGGTTTTTGTTCCAGAAAATGTAGACTGTTTTCCTGCCCTCTCCTCTCTCCCCCCCCCCTCCAGCGTAGGGTCTTTCCATGTGATGTCATAAGGGCGGAGTTTCCAGATGTTTGCTTTCCTCTATCTGCCTCAGTTCAAGGCCTCATGACTGTTCAATCCAGGGCAGACAGGCATGGCTGATTTTGTAATGAGACCCCTGCCACACTAATATCTTTTAACCATTATTTTTTTATTGCCTTCTTTTTTTAAAAAAAAAAGTTTGTTTCTATTTCCTTTTTCATTTGTCTGCTGCACTGGCCGGCACAAACCTATGGCTGCTGCTCAACCACCTACCACCATTAAGAAGTGTGGAAAAGAAAATGTACCAAATGAGGCAATGCCCATCTCTAGATGCAAAGATAAAAAAGTTATGAATGGGTGCTCGACTCAGAAAGGAGATAGTTGGGCAAGACAGGGGCCAGGGCAGGGGAGAGACGTATTGTGAATTAAACTACCAAATCAGTTTGGGGAGAGAACATTACATTATGTTTACTCATGCCTGACTCATTATTGCGAGGGCTTCTCAGTACAAAAACTGCCAGCCGAAAAACATTGTTAATATTTTGAAGAGGAGGAGACCTCAAGAAAACACAGGGAGGAAACTGGTTGGTACTGCAGGTTTGGGGGCAAAAATTGAGAGGAGAAATTGCTACATAGGATATTGTGATCTATCATGTATAATTTAATATGTAAAAGTTGACAGGTTTGGCCAAATTTTCACCTTTCCCTAAAGTATGGCTGTGGTCTTCCAAATTCTTTCTCAACTTAAAGCAGGTACTCCTAACATTAATGGATATATCTTAGTCTTCCTCCCACACTCTTTGATTTCAGGATTGTGACCATTTTGTTTGAACAGTCTGTCATTCAAATGTGTGTGTGTGTGTGTAATACTTTGTACATATGTTGCTGACAGTATTACTGAATTATATGATGCTAATACTATGTAGCAAAAATAAGTGTTACATGTTAGAAAGTTGTAGCTAAATATGTGGGTTGTTGGTTTTTAAACAATATCATCACAAAATTGCTAGCCCTGCATCCAAAAAATATGTCTGGGACTCGGACGTTTTTATTAAATTTAAAAAAAATTGTCAAAGAGTGCAATTAAGATTTTAAAGTGTGCCCTACACACTCAAATCATGTCCTTAGTTATACCATTAATTACTATAATAGGGTGTATACTGAGCTATTTTCTTAATAAACCCTTTCCTGATTAGATTGGAAATAAAGTATAGAGGGTAGAATCTGAGAGTTCTTTCAACCAATGATTACTATAAATCAAAGACAGTGAGATACAGGCAGCCTCCAGTGTGTCACATGCATTTCCTATCAATATTTGCTGATCCATAATTTTTTTTTGGGGGGGGGGGAGGGTACCTTCAAATTAAATATCTCCACAGAACAGCTTTTGCTGTTTCATTTGGGCATGAGGTAGCCTGAAGCTGCTGTGCTGCAAACCTGAATGAGAGAAGAATTGGGGAGGGAGCCCATCTGAAATGTGAAAATGATGTGTAAAGGGGCATTTAGTAAGTGCACCCAAAGTAAAACGAGGACAAAAAAAGCCCTGTTTAACCCCCCCTCTTCCTCGCATCTCTAAGGCTGCTTAGACCCAGGACCTGCGTAAAGTATGCACCTTCTTTTAGCTTTCTGGACCTCCCCACAAACCACACGCACATCTGGAATTTGGGGAGGGGCGTTATCCACTTAATAAACCAGAGGCAAGCCACTCTTTACAATATCGATGATCCAACATGAAACGCAAGTTTGGAGACTCCTAAATGCAAGAAAAGCAAAACAAAATAAATCAAAGTTGCCCAGGCGATACATCCCCCTTTCTCTGAGCTTTGGGGATGATCGTTCAGAATAATTCCTTTAATTCTAAAACAACTCCTCAAATCGCAAACCTTCCTCAAGTCTCTGTGGGCAAATCTTCCTCTCCCCCCCCCCGCCAAATAGGAGTCCAATGTTCGCTCCCTCTTTACTCTTCCCTCCCTTCCCCCAATGGGGAGGTCTTTACCTTCCTTTCTTTACACCCCCCCACCTAAAGAAAAAAGAAAGAAAGAAGAAAACTCCCTTCACTTCTGTTTCAGGCCCTGGGCATCGATTAACTCCTTCGGTGCTGACCTTTCTATGCAAGCCCTTGCCTCTCTCTCTCTCTCTCTCTCTCTCTCTCTCTCTCTCTCTCTCTCCCTCCCTCTCCCCACCGGCACACATTCCGCCTCCTTTTGGCGTTGCTGCTGGAGGGATCGGTTCACACGCTGCCCCCACCAAGCCCCAGTTGCCTTTTTTCTCAACCGGCGACCCATTTTAACGACCCCTTTTGAAGCTGGTTTCACTTAATGGCTCTCTCACTCACTCTCTCTGGATGTGTGTGCGCTCCATCCGGTTTGAGATCTCTCTGTGTGTGTGCGCGCGTGGATGGAGAGGGCGACATGAAACGGATTGCAGGTTTTCCTCTGCGCCATGAAAGTGTGCGCGACAGCAGAGGGTGAACTCAGTGAGTGTGAGGGGGTGAAAGTGTGTGGGGGTGAGAGAGAGAGAGAGAGAGAGAGAGAGAGAGAGAGAGAGAGAGTTTGGAAATCTAGCCATGCAAGGGCGGTGGAAGCACCAGGCAGTGAAATGGTTAATAGCCACTGGTCTCATTGATTAGTATTGATGGCTTTTGAGAGTTTTAATAGATGCCTTGTTTGTGGGAGGTGGGGGGGGGGTCCCCTTGCCCTGTATCTCCTCCTTGTTGTTGAATCCTGGCTTCTAATTGCAGTCACTGCATTCCTTCTGAGTGGGTGGTTTCACCTTTTCCTACCCAGGGAAGGCCTGTTTTTTGGGGTTGTTGTTTCTTTCTTTTTTTTAAAAAAAAATCCCTTTCATGTGTCGGAAAATCAATAGGCAGGGACTCTGGGTAGAAGTTATAAAACACAGGCAACAAAACAAAACCTTCCTTTTCTTTCTTGCTTTCCCCACTCTCTCCTCTCACCCCCACCTCACCCCCCCCCTAAAAAAAACACAAGCCTGGGGTATTGTAAAACACTGCAGAGAATGTAAAGTCTTCAAGTTTTGACTAAACAAAAGGGTAATGTTACTTTCACCAAACTTTAAAAAAAAACCACATTTATTTCATTGTATTTTACAGCTGCTGCCTGGATCCTTATGTCCGCTTGGAAGAGGCATTTGTGGCCAGAGGTTGTGTGTCTGAGAGTGTGACTGTGTTGTGGGGTCACCAATTTCTTTCACAACAACTTCCCAATCTCTGGTGCAGTGTCTAGGGACTGGATTTGGGTAGACTCCATCCCAGTGTTTAAATAGTTAAAAAAGAAATAAGGGGGGGGTGCAGAAATATAGTGGGAGGAGCCAACTAAACCTTTTTTAAAAACCCCCCAAAGTAAATTAATCTTTCTACTTGTTTAAAAAGGTAAGCAGAAAGGAGTTGCTAGCAAATTCTGGGTGAGACAGATTGAGCTTTGAAGAGAAAGGGGCTCCCATTTTGTAACTTTAAAGCTCTTTTTAACCTTCCAAGTCTGTTTTTCTTTGTGTGCATGTGGGGTTTTTTATTTTTTTAAAAATAAAAAAAAATACTCGCTTAAATTATACTCATCCAGCTTTTAAGTAGACTTTGTGATAACTCCCCCCCCTTCCTTCTTCTATGCCCTAATTTCTTTTCTATTGAGGAAAGGAGGGAATGGTTGTTAAATGGTTTTAAAGGAAGGGGTTAGCATTGGAGAAATAAATCAATTCCTTTCTGGCATCTAACTTTCAATTCATAACATTGGTTTCATATAGCTATTTCATTAGGATGGAATAACTCACCTGCAAGTAATTACAGTTGACTTGCTTTCTAAGAGAAACCCAGGCAAGTTTGGGGAAGGAAGGAAGGTGACTTAACAGAAATATCGTGCAGCTTTGACATGGGAATATAAAAGTGAATTAGATATATTCTTTATTAAAGCACAAACCTATCTGAATGATCTTTGTAAGCAATTGTTTCCATGGAGCTCTGCTTTTTCCAGGCTTTGCTACATACACACAGGGATGTCTGGACTGCAGGATGCTCAGAAAGCCTTAGATCAACAAGGGAGGTGTTACAAAATGAACTCGAAAAGTATTGTCCTAAATTTCATTTTGACTTTGCAAAGAAAAGCACTTGCTACAAATGCGAGAAAACTCTTGTATTGCTTCATGTATTCGAAACAGGCACATGACATCGCTTCTCCCCCTTTTGCTCAGAAACTTCTTTTTAAAATATCTTGTTTTAACCACATGCTGCAAAATGGTTTAAATTGCCTTTCTCAAGGTCCTGTCTAGCACTATTTATATCTTTTACTTAATAAAAAAATATATCTCTATATGCAATTAATTTTGTGCAAAATATTATCCTTGGGATCAAACTTGGAAGTGCCTAACGTGTTTGCTGTGATTTCTTTTCTGAAAGCAGATTAGTCTTCTGTTTTTTTTGTTCACATTCATTTTTATGCTGTAGCAATTGTTTTCTAACCATTGTAACCTGGGAAAATTCAGCAATATTTGAAGAAGCATCTTTCTTTCTTTTTCCACCTGAAAAGATTTGTAAATGTAAGAAACCTTTTCTAAATAATTTACTTTCAGCTCTGATTTACTACTGTGAGGCTATTATTTGCTTTAAACGATTTAAGAAAAAAACGACAAATTAAATGCCTTTTTGGAATAAAAAAGGAAGCACCCCTTTGCAGCCGAAATTGCATGTGTGATATATTTTTTTAAACTCAACTTTCAAGCCTTTTAAATTGAGGTTTCGCCTATGGAGGAGAAAAACAATTGTATTCTGAAATAGTCAAACATTTTCAAAAGACCACTATAGCAAATTCTGTAATTGTAATGCAGTTCAGATTTTGAATAATTGTTTTAATTTTAATCCAGTACATATTTGTGGTTTATTTTGAAGCAAGCAATTCATGGCAGCTTTTATCAAAAAAATAATAATTAAAAATAGGATTTGATTTATGCTTTTGCCTGTGCAGTCCTTATTTTTCAAGAATCTGTAGTTAGCCTTCCTCAAATAAATACCTAACCCTAAGCAGCATGGAAGAGAAACATTATAGTCACCAACATTTCCCACAAATGCAAAGGTTTAGAAGTCTTAACATATTTTTCTCCAGAATGTTTGAGTTGACTTATCAGTTTGACCCTCACTACAACTTACAGTGAGGCTTGTGGAGAGAAGATCCCTGCTTAGATCATATGACAAAATTGTCTGTGTGGCTATAATTTTGATAGCTTCAGAAGAAGAAGAAATCAGCAGGGAAGTCTGATGAATTTATCTCAGGGTAGAAACTTGCTTCTTAAGCCAAAAATTAGTACCCAAAAAGTCCATGAGAAAATCACTTTTCCTCCCCTTTGTGACATTTTCATTAGCTTATATGGCAAATGAAAGAAATACTGTGTGGGGGGGTTATTTTTACTATACTAATAAAATGGCACATTTATATTGCTGCCATTTCTTTTAAAATGTGGCCATTTCTTTCAGTTTTTATAAGGAGATTTGCTTTTCTACATGAAAATATCTCTGTAAATAACCAGGGTACCAAAAACACAGTTTAGTTAAATGTTTCTCTTCATTGCACAGCATTTCAATTAATATGCAATGAATTTGGGTTTTTTTTAATTGACCTGAAAGCACTGCTGTATAAAAATCTTTTTGATAATAAGAATACCTTATTGTGATGTATTCATCCATTTCTTTTAATTTCCATTTGAGGCATCTAAATCTTCACAACTACAGTCCTCCTTTGTAGACTGTTCAAAAAGAAAACAAATTTTCTCTCATAAACCTGATAATCAATATGTCTGAGATCTTGTACCTTGTTAAATGTATTTATATCCATTCATTTCAGTGGGTTTCAACATGCCCAGGTGGACAAACTCTTTTAACTGATTATGAACATGCTTTTTACTAATTGACATTTTAAGTCTCCTTTACTTCACTGTAGAAGTAGCTTACCATTGCCACCAAATATTAGTAAGAAATTTCAAACATTTACTCACTACTGTACTAATTCATCCTGAAAATCTTAAGCACTAATTCCGGAATTATTGTTATTTTTTACACATTCCCATGGAATGTTTCTGGTTGAAATCAATTAAAGGTTACAAAAAAAATGTTCATCAACATTCTTATATGTATATGAGAATGAAAGATGTTGAAACCATTCAAAAATCCTCTTTATCAGTTGAAAGGTAAGATGAAAGCACATGTGTGTGTGTGTGTTTGTGTATGGCAACTTTGATTAAAATGTTACGGGCACATCCTAATTAATATCTTGCAAGCTGTCCAAAAAATGACATGTTCTCTCAATCTGAACAAATAACTTTAAACAAATGGATATTGTTAATTTCCCCCCCAAAAAAATTAAAAAACCCATTGCCTGTGTAATATTGGCACATATTATTTATTATTGAAAAAATATTTATTGCTACAAATCAGTGCCTGGAATCATGAACTCAGGTTTCTAAAGCTTTTCCCAGCTAAGCATCACACCTGCCTTAGTCCCAACAGAGAGCTACAACTTCATCGCAAATCTTCAGCTGTTGGGTTTATGGCTGCAGGGAAGCTCAAAACAAAATGCAGATAAAACTTCCTAGAAATTCCTCTTAAAACAAACATTTTTTTTTAAAGCAGTTTCTTTTTTTCCTCTCAGAGGGGGAAGGGGGAATTTGATTGTGGCACTCAAGCTGTTAACACTGAATAAATTGTTACAGTTACGCAAAAACTTCTTCAAAAAATGGTTTCTTAAGGGTTGCATTTGTCCGACTTGATCATTTCCTATAGTGCAGTCCCCTCTTGAGCAGGAGGAATGAAGAATCCGGGGCTGTTCGATGCCTATTGTGTTGCCCTGATCTTTAAAAACACACACAGACACACATGGAAGAAGAAATCCCATTGATTTCAAGTGTATGATTAGGATTCCATCCATAGCATTTTCCCTAGCTGGGTTGATGGAATTAATTTAGTCTACCTGAAAGCACTCAAAACATTTTGATTCGCTTTGACCCGGTGTGGACACCCAAATATATCCCGCGGGTTTGATTTTATACGTCTAAACTTTTAAAAGAAAAACCTAGAAGTTGCTTAAGCAAACACCTGAATGATAACCCTACACACCTGGTCAAAATAAATGGCAATGGGCGAAGACTCTCAAAAGTTTTGTTGAAATGGGATAGCGATTGAAAAGCAGAGGGGCGAGTAAAATGGCTGTCCAAGAAGTTGAGAAGTGATATATTGCATATTTGCTTCCCGAAAAGGAAGGAGGAAGGAGCAAGTGATGGGGAAGAAGTGCTTAATTTTAGGTCAATAAGTCTACTGGTGTTGGGTACCCAAAGTGACTTGGATGTTAGGTTTCAACCTGGACATTTCTGCGGGCTCTAAGGATGAACAAGACAAGAACGGTTACAGAGGTTTGAGCACCTGCAAATGCTATGGAAATTATTTGTAACAATACTTAAAATTTTTAAGTAACATATGGTGTGAAAAGCTGCTTCCTACCAGCTCAGACAATTAGTCCATTTGGACCAGTATTGGCTACTTGGTGACTAGCAGTATCTCTCTAGGGTCTCAGGCAGTGAAAAGTGTCCCCCTTCTCCAGCTATCTGCACTCCTTTGACTGCAGTTTATCAAAGACTGAACCTGGGACCTTAGGAAAACACAGGGAACTGTTTTGTGCTGGGTGGGACTGTATGGGTGCAATTCAGACAGCACTTTGCTCTGTTCTCCTGACATTTTCGTTACCTGATAATCCGTGCATTTTATGCGATATTTCACACGACGTAAAAAGCCACTTCTGAAGCCCTAGGCGAATACAGTGGAAATGAAGCATCTGTTTCTATGTTAATTGTTTTAGAAAAAAATCATTTACCTCAGAAAAATCATACACTGTGATCTGATGCGACGAAAGCTGCATTCAAACAAGTTATTCCATTTTCCTGATGCTTCCCTAAGAGCAAATGTCTGCGTTCTGCTTTAGTTTTCACAAAGCATAAAAGCCACATCCAAAAATATAGCGATGTGGAGCGCAGGTTTAGCACTCACACCCATGTAATTTGCTTCTGGGGGGGGTGAGGGAATCCATTTGCAAATGACATAGAATTGAGTCCTGAACTTGTGCTATAATCTGTTTCTGGAAGTGGCTTTTGCACTGTGCTATTGCAGAAATCAACAGGTAGGGAAACATCAGGAAAATGGAATGAACCATCCTATGAATGCAACTGAATTTGTTTCATGGGGGGGTGCGTATCTGGTGTACACCCCTTTCCTACTGCTTATAATTTAGCACCACGTGACCATATATTGATTTTTTAAAAAGCCACAATTCCAGGTACTGTGGTGTAAAAGGAGTATTAGATAGTGGGACAGAACTGCTAGCATTATAACCAGTAAAACTAGCATCAGTAACCTCACGTCCGAATGCAGCCTATTTGTTCATTTGGATCAGGCTACATTCCCAACCCATTTTCTAACGTCCCTTTAACACTGAAGTACCTGTTCTGTTCTGTTACTGTGGATTTTCGCTCTAAATTTCACTCACACGGTGTGACAATGACAAGCATCATCAGACAATGTTGCTAACCTCCTCCTGGTTCCCCCCATGATTCTGCTATGAAAACAGCAAGAAAGAACTGTATGACCCCTCAGATTTCATCACCTTGCTCCCATGATTTTCCAGGTTAAGGGGCCTGGAATCTAATAAGACGGGAATGAGTGCCAAACATGTGCTATATTCCATTAGTTTTCCAGAAGTGGCTCGAATAGGATGCAGAAATTAGCAGGGAAATGGAACAAACTGCTGTGTGAATGCAGCCCAGGCTTGTCTGCTCAGACGGGCAGTAAGCTCTTCAGTTTCTCAAAGATCTTGCCCATCGCATTTTATCTGACCCATTTTAACTGGAAATGTTAGGGACTGAACCTGGGAACCTTCTGCATACAATCACGTGTTCTGCCATTGAGCTGTGTCCCCTCTCCACATAACACGAGTAGCCCTAAAGCCTGATATTTGAAGTAAATAGCACCTGTTGAGTTAGTAGCCAAGAGCTTTCCCAAATATTAGTGTGTCGGCTGCAGTGTGTAGGTGTGTTGTGTGAATGCACCCTACGATCCTCCCGGGGCTGGAAAGGGGCTAGTTCCACCTCTGGTTTGCTAGTAAAACTGAATTATTGTTTCGTGAAAATGATGCATGTCCAGAAAGTGTGTCACCAACATGAAAAGTCTGGAAAGCTCTGGTTGTCAGGTTGATCCCCAAGCAGAGAAAATAACAAAGTGCACATCTCTACTGAGATGGTCCATTGGTCAGTCTAGTTCACTGTTTACACAAACTGTCGGTGACTGTCTAGGGTTCTTTTCCATCCTTACATGGAGATGTTGGGAATGGAACCTGGGACCTTCTGCATGCCAGGCAGACGCCCTTCCCACTAAGCTACAGCCCTTCCCTACAGAAAAAGCCATCTTACACTGAGTCAACTGGCAGTGGCTTTCCAGGGTTTCAGACTGGAGATGTTCTCGTCTCTACCTGGAGATGCCAGGTGCTGTATCTGAGACCATCTGCATGGAAAGCAGATGCTCTGCTACTGAGCTATGGCGCTGTGGTCTAAACCACTGAGCCTCTTGGGCTTGCCGATTGGAAGGTCGGCGGTTCGAATCCCCATGACTGGGTGAGCTCCCATTGCTCTGTCCCAGCTCCAGCCAACCTAGCAGCTCAAAAGCACACCAGCGCACGTACAGTGGTACCTTGGTTTGCATATGTTTTGGATTACAAACGCGTCAAACCTGGAAGTGTGTGTCCCAGTTTGCAACCGTTTTTTGGATTACAACCCTTTTTTATTATTATGAACAAAAAAATTTTGGGAGGCCCCATTGGTGAAAATGCGCCTTGGGTTACAACCTGTTTTGGTTTACAAACGGACCACCGGAACGGATTATGGTTGTAAACCAAGGTACCATTATAGATAAACAG